CCCCCCTCAGACTTCCCCTCAGATGTGGTTTCAGCTCTGCCTTCACCCTCAGCTTGGGCTCCCTCCAGGAAAGAGGAAGAGAAACTGCAGGTAAGGGAGGAGCAGTGGATCAGGGACACTGGGGGGTGAGGCTGCCTCTGGTAACCCCATTGTCCCTCCAGCTTGGGACACTGGTGCCAATGGGGACAGAGCAGGGGAATGGCTCCCACCATTCCTGTTCCCATGCACAGGGGACTCTTCAGGAGGGGGACAGGGTTCCCTACCAAAGGTGGTGAGAAGGAAAGGGGAGTGTCAGCCTGCAGGTCATCCCCAGGCCCTCTCCTGGGAGCGTTCAGGGCAGAGTTGGGGCTCCCCAACACTGGGGTGCAGGGAAGCAGAGAAGCAGCTCCCAGGTCCTATAGCATGGATAGAGCTCCATGGAAAGGGGAAAGCTGCTCATCCGCTGAAACTCCCTGGAATGGGCATCAGAGTGGGGGTACATGGTCCCATCCCCATCCTACTGGCCAAGTACCACTGCTCCAGAATTCTGATGACAGTCCCTTTCAGGCCCTGCAGCCCATCACTTCCCTTGGAACCAACACGCTTACAGCTGCTCGAGCCCATTCACCTTATGCACCCCAAAAGGAGTTCCTGGAGGAGCTGCTTCCTCCAGCTCTGCCTGCACCCATCCCTGACCCCACAGCTGTGGTCAAGACTGGAACTGCTCATCACCTCGACCTGGGGAGTCCCATACCCATTGAATCAGGCCAGCAGTGCCAAGTGGCCAGGGAACGTCCCCATCAGCTCTTTTCCATCACTCTCTTCCCCCAGAGCTGTCCAGGGCCATGGTCTTGGCCCATGTGCCTGGCCCAGCTCTTCTCCTGCAGGTTTGCCACCTCACCAGCTTCTATACCCACAGCTGATCAGTGTGGCCTGGCTATGGTGTGGTTGGGAGGTGACAAAGAGGTATGGGACGGGCACACAGCCTTGGGGCACAGAGAGCCCAGGCACAAAGCCATGTGGTGGGAAGAGGGTTCTGCTGCCCTCTGGGAAAGGCAGCCACGTTGGTGTGAACCCACCTGGCAGTGCAGAGTGGATGGCGGTGTCTGTTCTGTGCAGGGTGAGACATGCCAGGCACAACTGGCAGGACAGGATATTCCCCTCAGGGCAGTGCATGCAGCCCATGGGCAGGAAACACATCCAGCTGAAAGGGGGGGAGAAAAGAGGGGTCAGTTCACCCACATCACCCTAATTGTCACGGTGCTGCCTTGGCCATGGGGATCACTCCTGGGTGTGGTGGGGTGACCTTGCTCAAAAGCAAATTTCCCCAACACTCACAGTCACACTCAGGATGCCCCAGCCTACCCCAAGTGGGAACCTTGGAGCCCTCCCCTAAACCTCAGAGCCAGCCCCATTGGCTGCCAAGGCCATTAGAACCAGCAGAGCTGCCCAGGCAGAGCCAGCCTGAGACATCTCCAGCCTCATCTGCCACAGCCTCTTCCTCCTGCTGCTGCACCCACTGCTGCACACTCTGGGCCTCACTGCTGGCACCATGCAGCCCCCTCGCTGCTGCCTCCTCCTCATCCTTCTCTACCTCTTCCTCCTCTCTGGGACATGGGCAACCCTGGAGGGTAAGTGGGAGCCTTGCCTCAGCCACAGCTGCTCCCATGCCCCCATGGGCAAGAGGCTTCCTGCACCTCACCCACTTTTGGCTCTTACTTCCTCACCCCTCCTTGTCCCCTGGTTCCACACCTCCTCCTCGGCAGGGACGCAGCCACCTGAGGTGGGTGCAGCAGGTGGGAACCGGGGCTGCCAAGGATGAAGGGGGCCTAGAGGGGGCCACAGATCTCTGCAACCTCAAGGACCTGTCCCTCAGCCCCTCCACTTTCCCTCTCCTCCCTTCCAACCCCTGTCTCACGTAGGGACCTTCACTATCCGGCTGCTTCACACCTCTACCTTCCAAAACACCTCCTTTGTGGACACGGAGGGGATAGGCCTGCTGGAAGACATCGAACTTGGTTCTCTTGATAAGCACACCTGGGCCATCCACTTCTGCCAGCCCTGGGTGCGGCCAGCCCTGCCCCACAGTGAGTGGGACACCATTGACAACATGTTCAAGATCTATTTCAATAATTTCATCCACCTGATCAATGAAGGGGCCATACAGAAGGATGTGCCCTGTGAGTATCCACTCTTCACTGCGTCCCCTCTCTAAACAGCAGCTGGGGAGTGGGGAAGGATCTGGCAAGTGCTGGCACTGATCATGCCTGCAGGAAGGCAGTCCCAGCCCCTCATGCAACCTCTCTCCCCTCTTGGCCCCTCCAGACCCCTTTGTGGCTCAGGTCATGGCAGGCTGCAAGCTCTACCCCAACAGAACCTCTCGGGTCTTCGTCTATGTGGGCTACAATGGACAGGACTTCATCAGCTTGGACACAGACAATGCCACCTGGACCCTCTCCCAGGACACCGACCTGGCACGGTACGTCAGGGCTGTCCTCCAGAACGACACCACCCTTGGTGAGGAGGTGGAGGACATCTTCAACGATACCTGCATCAATGCCATTGAGATGTTCCTGAGTTATGGGAGGGCAGCTCTGGAGAGACAAGGTGAGACCACCCTGACCCTGCCACAGCCACCCCAAAGCCCTGGGGCCAAGCCGTGCCCAACCAGGGCTTCCCCCACCCCTTTGCTCCCACCCCCCAGAGCTGCCCGTGGCCACGGTCTTTGCCCGCACGCCCAGCCCACACCAGCTGCTGCTGGTTTGCCACGTCACCGCCTTCTACCCCCGGCCCATCAGTGTGGCCTGGCTGAGGGATGGCCAGGAGGTGCCTCCGGGCCCGCAGCTCAACACCAGCCCCATCCTGCCCAACGCTGACCTCACCTACCAGCTCTCCAGCGTCCTGGCCGTGGCCCCCCAGGACGGGCACAGCTACGCCTGCCGCGTGCGCCACCGCAGCCTGGGCACCCGCAGCCTCCTCGTCCCCTGGGGTAGGTGCCACCCGTGGGGACGGGAAGGGGCGCCCGAGCCGCCCACCCGGTGGGATGGAGCAAAGCCCGGGAAGTTCATGGCAGCCCCTCCTTATATTGCCCAGGGAGCTCAGAGGTGGTGCTGATCACAGGGCTCGTGGCCGGGCTGCTGGGAGCCGTGGCTGTTGCTGCCCTGCTGCTGCTTTGGGTGTGGAGATGCAGGTGAGTCTCCTCCTGCCCCACACAGCAGCAGAGGGAGAGGAGGGGAGGGGATGCCCCAGGGGATTTCTGCACTGGGCAGCGGAGCTCTGGCTTCAGCCCTGCCAGCTCCTGTCTGCACCCCTACAAGGTCTCTGCCGTAGAGCATCCGTGAGCTGTCCCCCTCTCCTTTCAGAAAGCACCAGTGGAAGAGGAACCAGAGTCCAGGAACTCCATCCTGAGCAAAGAAGCTTAGCCCAGAAGGGAGCCAACTGTCCCCGTTCCCTCTTGTCACCTGTCAGCCAACAGGGACAAGAATTACCTTTTTCTGCTTCAAGATTGCAAGACTAACTCGACTCAGAGATGCAGGGGAGAAACCTGGATGGCTTCTGACTCACTTGAATTTGCTAAGCAGACACAGACACAGGTTTGAGACCTCCTCACTTTTTACACCTCTTGTGGCACTGGCTTAGGCACCCACTGAGGCTCTAGGGCACCTAAATGTCCAGAGGCAATTTCTCCCACTTCTGGTACAATAACACTTTTATCAGTAGGTGGAAAGCTGTACCCTTCCACTTCCATTTTCTAGGTGATTTTTTTTCCTAAAAACTGCCTTTATTAACCATATTCCAGAAGTCTTTGTGCTGAGACTGAACTGTTCCACACAGACTAACAGAACCTGGCCACAAATGGCTTTATAAACTGCTGAGTAACACTGAAACTCTGGTATAATATGTGGGAGCTGTGTATAATATGTGCAGATGTGTATAATAAAATCACTATTTTCACTAAGATCATGTGCCTTTCCTCAGGAGTTGTATGGCCTTGGGGGAGGTTTAGCTCAGCTGCAAAGGGAAGCCAGAGCACCACTGAATTATTGGCACTAATTGCAGGAAACACCAAGGCAAGGGGGAAAAAAAGTACATGTGTGCCTGTGCATATATGAACATGTTCTTACACATTGCATGGAAACAGGTAACATAGGGGTAAAGTGCCCCCAAGGCTTCTAATAAAGGAGGAAAAGGAAGCCCATGTCCCATTGAAGACAGCAGAGTTCAGACAGACACAGGAAGGCATTTAGTTCATGCTCCCAACCAACTTAAACACAGAGCTTCAAAAGGTTTGGTTTCCCTGCAAAATTTCCCAAGATAGGTCTGGCAGCCATGTGTGAGCCAGAAAATCCAGCAGGCCTGTGGCTGTATCCACCACAGCTCTGCTGGGCTTTGTTCCCCCTCGGCCAGACCCTGGAAACAATGATGCTGGTGGCAGGACTACATTTTCCTGGCAACCAGAGTCATCTGCTGGCACCACAGGGCTCAAGGACCTTGTTGCATGAGGGGTGACACCAAGCCTCTCCCAGCCCTTGCTGACTTGGGACAGACAGATGAAACCCTCGGGTGTGGGCAGGGCTCCCTCGGGGAGCAAATGGGGCAATTGCTCTCCCAAGCAGAGTGGAACACCCTGCAGCACTCATGGGATGGGGCAGGATGAAGCTCACCCACAGAACCTGGAAAGCAGGTGCAAACCTGCTGAGGAAAGGTGTTTGTGTGAATGAACTCCCAAGAGACCCTACAGTAACACAGCCACAAACACCTGGCACCAAGGAGGTGTCTGCAAGTGTGTGCTCACAGCCCCCCAAGAGACCCTATAACAACATCCCCCACCCAGGCATTTTGAGAGGGCTCTTCAGGCACTTCAGCCCAGCCCACCGAGTGCTGCTGCCCACCTCAGTGCAGCACCCAGGGGCACTGCATCCCTGTCCACCCCAGCACAACTCACCCAGGCACAGCCCTGGGCTCGGGGCTTACAGCCTTCAGCACAGGGGGCACTGCCAGGCCCAACAATCACCTGGGGGGATGCAAACACCACTGTCACCTGTGGGTCACATGAGGTGGAACAAACTCCTACAGTCACCTGGTGCTGGCAGAGGGGAAAGTGTGCACCAGTAATCACCCAGTAGGACTGAAAAGAACCAACATCACCTGAGGGAACTGTGGGGACCAGTGGTAACCTGGGGGTGACTCTGAGGACCATGGTCACCTGAGAGGACAGTGAGGACCAATGGTCTGTGTGGATCAAGAGCCCCCTGTCCCCCTGGGTTATTTTCTGATCAGACAAAGGGACAGTGTGAAGGACGAAGAAGTTGTGAGCAAGAAAGAAAGAGAAAAAAAACAATGAACCAACCAAACAAAAACAAAACCACAAGGAGAAGTACATTCCATAGAGAAGAGGAATGGCTAAAGAAGTACTTCTGATCCCCTGTGACAGTGGAAAACATCAGGAGAAAATTCAGCGGGGGCTGAACACATTGTGATCACCAGCACAAAGCGGGTGCCTGCTCCTGTCCTACCAGTGACCCAGGCACCAGCAGTGTCATGTGCACCTGCACAGGACAGAGGGCTGAGAACGGCCCCTCAGAGGGCTGAGAACGGCCCCACAGCTGCTCAGCAAGAAGTGACCAACACTCATCTTAGGGGGGATCATGGGGGCAAGTGCTCACCTCACAGGACAGTGTGGACAAAAGTGCCTCTGCCCCTTCCCTCCCTGGCTCCCCAAGGCTGAACTTTGCCATCCCACCAGCCAAACACTCCCCTCTGGGCCCAGCACTGCTGGCTTCAAAGGAAGGGATGTGGACTTTGTGGTGGCATAGCTGGACGTCCCGTGGGTGAGGCTGCTGGGGAAGTTGGTGCCATTTCTGGGCCTACCAGGCCACCACAGCATCCCTACTTCTCACTGGGACAGCTCCATGGAAGGGAAGGGGTTTGGTGTCCTTGTGTCCCCAGGACTGACTCAGTGTCACGAGGTGCTGGACCTCAGCCTGCAGCAGCTCCATGTGGCCCTTCCCCATGTCCCTACAGCTGGAGACACCGAAAATGGAGACATGGAGCAGCGACCCCTGGATCCAGTTGTGCTTGGAGGGATCACACAGCATGGGGGTCACAGACCTTGGCCCTGGTTTTGTTTGGTTGTTATCAGGGCACCCCCCTCAGACTTCCCCTCAGATGTGGTTTCAGCTCTGCCTTCACCCTCAGCTTGGGCTCCCTCCAGGAAAGAGGAAGAGAAACTGCAGGTAAGGGAGGAGCAGTGGATCAGGGACACTGGGGGGTGAGGCTGCCTCTGGTAACCCCATTGTCCCTCCAGCTTGGGACACTGGTGCCAATGGGGACAGAGCAGGGGAATGGCTCCCACCATTCCTGTTCCCATGCACAGGGGACTCTTCAGGAGGGGGACAGGGTTCCCTACCAAAGGTGGTGAGAAGGAAAGGGGAGTGTCAGCCTGCAGG